CTAACATTTTACTCACCTCAGAACTGGTATGCATCTTTATCCTTCTTAACGTGGTATTTAAGAAACCATACAAACTGTTATATTACACATGTAGAATCTACTTAAAAACACAACATACACACTTCCAACTTTACATCAGGTTCTCAGTAATGCAGCTTGGTAAGAGTGCCCAATAGCTACATGTGGCAGTGGCCACCATACTGGACAGCGAAGTTCTACTGACTGGTAATTTTTAATGAAGTACTTAAATATGACATTGCCTTATTTACTGCTAGCTTCCTACCTATTATAAACATAATAATACCTTAGTATTTTATAAGTGCAAACACCAGTCTTTCCTCTTAGTTCCCCCTCCTGATCTTACAGCCTTTTTTCAATTTTCCCTTTCTTTTTACAAAGATTCTCAATATCTCTGTAGTTAGGGCTTGCCCACTCAATTCCTTGGTGAGGATATATCTAGATAAAGTACAGCTATGTCTATGCTTCCTCCTGACGAATACTTACTCTCTTAGAACTTCATATAAACTTTGCCAGCAGCAAACATAAAACAGACAACAGAAAATGGTATTATCATCCCAAATATTTCTTCCCTTTTGGCCTTTATATCCCATTGTGTTATTTTCTCTTCTGTATCTTTTCCATCAGGCACCTCTTTCCATTTTCAATTAGCTTCTTTTTAATAGAGTAGCTCTTTCTCCACCAGACTTAGTGCACAGGCACAGTGAGTTAAAAATGTATCCCTCAACTCATCACTTCTGCCTTTTCAGAATTAAGAACCCAAATAAAACAACGACAACAAAAACTTAAACTCTGTGAAAAAAAATCCAACTTATTCAAACCTTGATTCCTTTTATCCAATGGTACATCTATCAGAACCTCTGTCTTCTCTGGTTCTACGTAGCTATTAAAAAATGAAAGACTGCCCATCTACAGAAAACCAAGACACCAGAAACTGTTTAATCACAGTCATTCTGATTTCCAGCAGTAGTCAAGGCTCTATGATCAGATACTTTGGCTTGCTTTCTTCGTTTTCATTTTCTAAGACCTTTCTCTGCTTATAAACTGGGTTTTATTCACTGATACTACAAGATACTAGAGAAGCATTTTCTTCTCCTTAGAACTACTATTCACTCACAATACAAAGAAACCACAATGGCAAGTTCATCTCACTGTGGTTTTGTTTGTTTGTTTGTTTTATTTCTAGCCTTATCTACACTAGGCTTCGAGATGGAGACCTCTCTAATTCAACAGTCTGCCTCAAATTGTTCATGGTCTATTCAATCTAACACCTTTCTGTGGTCTAAACTAATATTTTTTTCTCTCTTCTGCAAAAAATCCTGTAACTTCTCTCTTTCTTATAACCATTCTGTTCCCTTATGGCACTGTACTAAGGCTTTGCAAATTCTAAAGTGCTATGAGGCCCCTAGGCCTGCTCTGGGTGTTGAAAAAACAAGGTTCCTAAATCTGCAAGGCTGAAAGTCAGGTCCTGGACTGTGGCAAATCCATCATTGTAATATTACTCTTTGAAGCACCTTTAGAAAAGCAACCAAGTGGCTTCCCCTAAAGGCAAGCACTTTCTTTCAAAATGCTGGCACAAGTTACAAGGCCAGTTTCTATTTTTCTAATACCTATCCATCTCTTTGTATTAAATTACTGTTCTTCTCTTGCTGATACCACAAACGGTCTCTGACTTATGATGGTCTGAATTCAGATTTCTTTCACTTTATGATGGTGCAAAAGTGATCTGCATTCAGTAAAAACTATACTTTGATTCTTGAATTTTGATCTTTTCTGGGCTAGTGACATGTGGTACAATACACTCTCATGATGCTGGCAGCAGCAAATGAGATGATTTTGCCCAACTGTAGATTGACGAAACGTAAGTGTTCTGAGTATGTTTTAAGGTAGGCAAGGCTAAGCTATGATGTCTGGTATATTATGGGTATTAAATGCATTTTCGATTTACAACATTTCAACTTATGATGGGTTTATTGGGACGTAACTCCACTGAAAGTTGAGGAGCATCTATAGTTATTTTGGTGTTGCTTCTATCTGCCATATGAAAGAGGAGGTCCTATTTGTTCAAAGTTCTCCTTCAAACTATTCCAGCATTTACTGAATGCCTACTATGAAATAAAAACTATGCTAGGTGCCAAAAGAAATTTTAAAATACAGATTAAATAATCTGGATGAAGAGAAAAAGCTGTACACAAACTCAGTACGGCCATGACTAGATCTGTATATATAATTAGCTGTTCTTCTGCCACTTCTCTCTGCCATATCACCATTCTTTCCTGCCCTCTTTCCATTGTCTCATCATGTGCAATTACGAGCTAATGCTCTCCAGACTTCTTTCTCATCTAGTCCTCCTATGGCCTCTGTTCAGATCAATTTTTTTTTTTTTTTTTTTTTGCTGGGCTCTGGCTGGCATCTGTCTCCTCAATTGCCTAGGCTGCCTAGAGGAACTGGTGTAGCCTCTCACCTCCCTCTTTCCCCTCATGGGTGGCTCCATGCTTCCTTCACGATGCACAAACAGAAGATGTCACTGAAAGATTCTTTTCCCCGTTGTATCTAAATCAGAAACCCCCAAACCTATGTTCTATATTTTTCAACTTTTTCTACAAGTTGAAGAGAGTGTATTTTCTATAGCTTGCCCATAAAAAATGCCGAAAACATGTGCTTGCATTCACCAGTAATAGGCAAGAATTGGGAAAGTCTGAGTTGTTGAAATGGGATGTCTATTAAACTATCATTTCTCTTAAACTTGTTCTCTAGAACTCCAATTTTGTGGGTTTTAATAGGTGCTATGAGAGTGGGGTGGGAACAAGGTCAAATGTGCATGGGAAACACTAAGTTTTACAAAGGTAAATGAGTTTCTTTACTGTAGGATTGTTGATGGTCCATCTATACACTAAAGTAAATCTCTAAGAGGAAAGTATTAAGGAAATATTTGAAACATTTCTCACATAACCTTTTGATTCCATATCCTTTTTCATGGAGCATCTTCCAGGCCTCAATTCCTCCTCATAAAATGAATACTTACTTCACAGCATTATTATGAAGATTATAAATACATGTAAAATACATGGTAAAATATACATGTTAAAATACATGTTAATACATGTAAAGTGTTTAGAACAATGTCAGGCACATAATAATTACTAAAAACTATAATTACCACTAATTCCCTATGCTGATATTTAACATGGCAATAATCCCAGAAAAGTGAAATGAGAAAATTTTTACTGTATAATAATGACCACTGTTAACTACCAATTGGATAAAAGATGTCCTCTCTTTGCCTGAAATGCACTGCTTGAGGGTACAAATAACAGAAAATCTTTACGGAAATAATTGACATGTATGATATATTTATCATTAAGAAATTTGGATCTTACAGAAAAGAAACAAAGTTAAAAGAGTCTTAAAAATTTCCTTCATCCCAAAAGGAAAAAGCCTAGAGTACTTTGAGTGCTGAGGTGGTCCAAATACTCAGCAGAGTCTCTGGTATATAGTAAGCATTCAATAAAGTTTGATGGAAAACCTGAAAAATTAATGGATAAATGGATACTACCTTGAATAACTCAAATATTATTTCCAAATCACTATGAATCAACTGGGAAACACATTATACTTTTATTTAGGCTCCCTCACTCCCCTTTACAGATGTTTAATCTATATGGAATATAAAAATAGAAGTGTTTGCCATACTTTATTTAAAAGATGTTAGAGGTATTTGCTTGAATTTAATCTTCCAAATGTGTCACAATCTAAAATCTGCTTAAAAAAAAAAACACGAAAAACAGACCAAAAAAACCTATAAAGGCACTATGCATCACACACAAAAGTACTGTTTAAGTGGCATCTATCAGTAAAAATATAGTACCTACTTACCTCATATTTATAATTTATACAGGAATTTATAAATTTACATAGGAATAATCCATCTCTATCTATTCATTTGGGCTGATTTTAGAACTCTACAAAAATTTCTAAGAACTGAGAAGTTATAAGAAACAGAAAACTAACCTATAAGAATTAAGTAAGTTAGAGGTTAGTGGAAGAAAAAAATGTGCATTTTATAAAAATCAACGAGGATCTTCCCAATATATTTTTCCTGATAATGATGATCTCAATAACTGCCAATTTTAAAATATCACGATTTTAAGGCTATGCTCTCACAACAGTATCACTGTTTCTATCATCCAGTTTCTTCCTTTTATATTTTGAGATTTTCTTTTCTTTTCAAACAAATAACCTAGTTATCCTCACATTAGAAAACTCTAGGACAGGGGTTGGCAAACTATGGCCAAGGGCCAAATATAGCTTACTACCTATTTTGTATGTCAGATGACCAAGATGGTTTTTCACAATTTTAAAGGTTGTAAAAAGCAAAAAAGAATATGCAATGGAGACCTGTGTGGATTGCAAATCCTAAAATATTCACTACCTGGCTCTTTATAAAAAATTTTGCTGTTTCTGCTCTAGGATGATATTTATCATAGGTTACTCAGTAATTTAAGATAATTCCTATCAATGACAAGTACATTAAATTTTACAATGGTAATTAGAATAGAACTCCATCATAACAGTATTTGATCTCTTTATACATACCACTTAGTTCCAATAACCAATTAAATTGTTTTTCAGAATATTAACACAGAACCCAACACATTATGGAAGTATAAATATCAAACTCAGCCTGCGTGAACAACAGTACTTCAGTTATAATGCCAAAGTGATGGTATGTATCTAAACAAAGGAAACCCTTTTTCTCATGGGAATTCAGACCAATTAATAAATGAAGTAAACTCTAATCATTTCTCATATTACACATCTACCATATTCACTTAGCTGAAAAAAATAATTTTTCCTTTATTTCTCTGAAGGCAAGATATATTTATCTCAAAATCTCAAAATCTCTAATGAGTTTTCTAATTAAGTTTTTTTTATATAGTGTTTTCTCAAAGTATTCAAAGAAAATAAACTCAGTAACTCACTCCAGAGCAGGTCTCAGAACTCTGACTTTTAATGCTTCTAATATTCGATTTAACTCCACAAATGGTTCTTTCTGACTGGGGTCTACGGAAAGACCAGATTCCTAAAAAAATTAAAAAACAAAAACAAAAACAAAAAAGCTTTTGTTAGAAGTAACTGGAGTAAAGAGATAAATAAAAACATTCTAAATTAAATATGGAACAATCCATTAAAAATTTCTTTTTAACATGTATTTCTACGGCACAGACAGATGATCAAGCCCTATTATCATTCTTCCCTCTTTTCCTTAGTTGTGGAATCCCCAAATTTTAGATGGGCATCTAACCATATAGAATAAAGCTGGGTATGACTGCAAGATTTAAGTCATGGTCAATGAAATATAAGCATGTATTCTTTTTTGCCCCTTCCTGGAATACCAAAATGTATATAGTTCTCGCTGGTATCCTAGACCATAAGGACAGGGGACACCTTAGAAATAGCAGAGCTATAAGAAACCTAGGTTCCTAAGAGCTTCATGAAGCATAACTACTATATATGCTGTGGAAGACTTACTATCTCCTATTTCTATTCAAGAGAAATAAACTTCATTTTTGTTTAAGCCACTGGTATTTTGGGTCTTTGTTACTTATAAGCAAACTTAACCCTAAATGACACAATTTACTTTAGGACATGTATATGGGCACAAATACAATTCCCATATGAGTACAGAGAAAGACCTAAGTTACAGTTTATCTGTTTAAAATAGAAAAGGCTTAGAGGTTCTGTTTACAGACTAGCTTTAAATTACTTAATCCTAACAATCCTTAAACAGAAAATATAACAGCACATGGTAGCTCAGGACAGAATTTGAAGATATATGAATGTGGGACTCAATCCTAGTTCCTTCACTAAGAACCTGTAAGGCCTTGGGCAAGTTACTGCTCCAAACCTCATATTCCTCATTTACAGAAAGGAAACAGTAGTTTCTACCTCCCAGAACTAAAGTAAGGAATAAAGGCAGAGCATGGCTTGTGGTAAATACTCAATACACGGCAGCTGCTACCATTATGATATTAGGTGGCAAATGGTAAAGTGTTCTGAGATCCCTAGGCTTATGTCTAACAGAAATAAAAGAAAAATGATCTCAACTAAAGTAAATTTTAGCTTGAAATTCATTTGACAAAACAAAATCCTACAAGTTGGGCCAGAACAGAAGAATAAACATAAATCTCTTTATCCTTTTCTTCTTCTATACTAACCTTCCCTATGAAAAGAAAAACTTGATTGAGGACTTGAGACCAATGTTACGGGACAGGAATATAGAAATAACTTGAATAAAAAGTTCTAGGATTATAATTTTCACCAATTAAAAATAAGATTTCCTAGTAAAATGAGGTCAGCCCTGATAATAAAAATACTACAATCTATGGCTAGAAGAAGACTCAAAAACTCCAAGGAATTCCCTTATTTCTTTTTCATCTTTTCATAGTTGACAAACTTACCTGACAGAGCTCCTCGGCCACATCCAGCATTCCCTGTCGAAAGAAGTGTTCCACCATCACTTCATTGAGAAGCCTTTGGCTGTCTGCCTGCCAGCAGCCATCTATCCCTACACTGCTAATATCAGAATCAAAATTCTGAAAAAAAAAAAAGGAAAGAACTCATGAATTGATTAAGATATATCACTTTATATGATTTTTATGCGATCTAACAGAAAGAATGGCCTTCATTTCACTCTGAGATACCTCCAATAAGTACCCAATTCAAATTTATCTGTAGCCTTTAACAGAAATTAGTTTTCCACTATTCTTTTCTAAAACTTATTGCTCTCATTGACTATTGCTGGAAGAGTAAACAGGTACTTTCTTAGAGGGCATTTTGTAAAAATATATAAATTTAATAATGATTTCTGTGAATAAATTGATTTCTAGGCATTATACAATAGCAATTATTTTCAGAGGTGTGCAGTGATACCTGTAAAAGCATATTCAATGCAACATTGTCTAACAGAAAAAAAAAAAGTGAAAATCCATATGCTCAACATAGGATCAGTTAAATAATGCATGGCACATCCCAACAACTACAGTGCCAAGGTAGAGGAAAGAAGTGGGAAAACAGCCAGGTGGTTAAAAAGGTAGGCTCTGGGGCCAGTCTACCTGGGTTTGAATCCTGGTTCTATATTTTACTAGTTGTGTGATTTTGGCCAAGTTATTCAAGATCTTTGAGCCTCAGCTTCCTTAAGAAAACAACAGTACCTCCCTATTTTGTGAACTGTATCCTCTCAAAATTCCTGTGAAGCCCTCACTCCCAGTACACCACATTAAATTAAAATGAGATCTTTAGGGTGGGTACTAATCCAATAGGACCAGTATCCTTAAAAAAAAAAAAAACAAACAGGAAATCAGGTCACAGGTACAGAGGGAAGACCATGTATAATGGACTATATTCCCCCAAATCTGGCCCCAATTCCTACACTGAAGGCCTAACTACCAATGTGACTGTATTTGGAAATAAAGTGTGTAAGGAAGTGATAAAGCTTAATGAAATCATGGGTGGGGTTGGGGTGGGGGGGGTGACTAAACCAATAGGTCTGGTGCTCTTGTAAGACAAGGGAGAAACACCAGAGCACCACCACCACCACCACGCAAGGACACAGTGAACAACATGCCAGGAAGGAGGCTGTCTACTCTCAGTAGGAAATGAATTGGCCAGGGCCTTGATCTTACACTTTCCAGTCATAAGAACTCTAAGAAAATTTTTTTGTCTAAACTACCCAGTCTATGGTATTTCGTAATGGCAGCCCAAGCTAAGATACCATAGGGTACAGGGAGAAGAGGGCTATCTACAAGCCAAGGAGACCTCGGAAGAAAGTAACCGTGCCAACACCTTGGTCTTGAATCTCCAATTTCCAAAATTGTGAGAAAATAAATATCTGTTTAGCCACCCAGTCTGTGGTACTTTGTTAAAGCAGCCCTAGCAAATTAACACACTCTATTATTGGTAGTCGCTATTACTCTAATACTACTATTCACAACTAGAAAGTAAAGTTCATTACTCTATCTACTAACATGAAAAAATTTCCCTAACACCTTTGGTGAAAATGAACAACCACTAAAAAATTATGACCCCATTTTTTTTAACTGCTAAGGAAAAAAATCCAAAAGAATGTACACTAAAGTAATAGCAGAAATTATCACTGGAGATTACCATGCTCCACACAAAGAGCAAATATTCATTTCATAGTAAAATAATAAACTTACCCAGTTCAGGGAAATATCAAGTAAGCACACTCCATCCTGTCTCTTCCATTGAATGTAGTTATAAAAGGACAATGAATGGAAGAGCTTTATGAGGACACTAAAAAATGAATAATAGTAACTGGACTGAGGAAGAAGGTCACAGAACTGGTGGTGAGTTTACTACTTTTCTCTCCAATATCTCTCGGCCTGGATGCAGTGCAGCCAAAACTCAGAACGGGGCACCCAGGATGTGGTCAGAAAGCTCCAGAAGAAGCCCTTTAGTTTTGCCATGAGGAACAGGAGGAATAGGCTCTCCTATCAGAGAACAGGGGAAGTTTGATTCTTTTGCCCTTCCATTTTCTTGCAACTCTAGCTCAAGGCAATCTGTAGGTATATTAGCTTTCTACAGCCACTTTTTAAACACAATCTTATTATCTCACAAAAGTCCAACAGGCTGTGAATTCTCTGCTCCTGGCCCCATAAAGCTAAAATCAAGGTGTCAGTGATCTGGGCTCCTATCTGGAGAATTTGTGGGAATAATCCACTTAAGGTTCATTGAAGCCGTTGGCAGAATTCAGACTCAGTTAGCTATAGGACTGAGGTCCCTATTTCCTCGTTGGCTGTAGAGTGGAGATTGTTCTCAGCTTTTAGAAGCCACCTACATTCCCTGATTCATGCCCCTCCCCCTATTTTCAAGGCCAACAACAGGTGACGTTCCTCTATGACTCTCTCTGCCTTCTCTTTCTACCATCCTCTGCTGCTTTAAAAGGCTCATGTTAATTACATTGGGCCCACCTAGAAAATCTTCCCATTTTAAGGTCGACTGCTTAGTAACCTTAATTGTACCTGCAAAATTCCTTCATTGCAGTATCACAATTAATATTTGATAGAATAACCAGGGAACAAGAATTTAGGGAGAATATCTTTAGAAATCTGCCTATCACAGCAAGTGAAGTAAAATTCTGAAGGAGAGGATCCTTTCTCTTCAGTTAGAGGAGCTGTGGTGCCAAGAGGGCAAAAACTCCTGTTGCATCTTTGCTCTCTGCCCTTCCACTGCCCTAGATACAGACACAGTCATGTACAGAAAACAAGGTAAATGAAGCCCCAGCTTTCTGGCCAGATGACCAATAAAGTAGTCCCAGAGAACCATAAAGTACGAGAAAAATCACATAGAGGGAATAACTCAGGAAAGTGACCCCTTAAAGTTGTTTATGAACTCCTGGGCTCATCTTCGAACTGCACATGCGTGGGTCTGACCCTAAGCAGCATACCACAGACTCTGAAAACTGAACTAAGGGACAGACCTAGTTTTCAGGTCCTATTATGGCCAGTGGTTGGCATGCAAACAAGACATATCTGAATAACTCTATAATGGCTTTGGAAACAAAGCTGACATTGAAACCACAACTCAGAGAAGACTGGTTATAACTCGTAGTCTGAACCCACCACCAGGACAATTGCCTAAAACAAAAACATTGATATTTTCCATAGATTTTAAACAAAAACTAGAGTCTCATCAAAGAACATCAAAAATGTCCAGGATACACATTTCATCCAAAAGCAGCAAGATCTACATTCTTTTCAAGTGCACATGGAACATTTTCAAGGATACAGCACATATTAGGACACAAAACATGTCTCAATAAATTTAAGAAAACTGAAATCATATCAAGCATTTTTTCCAATCACAAAGGTATGTGACTAGAAATCAATTACAAGAAGAAAACTGAAAAACACAAACACATGGAGGCTAAAACATGCTACTAAACAATGAATCGGTTAACAACAATATCAAGAAAGAAAGAAAAAAATACCTTGAGACAAATGATAAAAACACAATGACGCAAAAAATCTATGAGACACAGCCAAAGTGGTTCTATGAGGGAAATTCATAGCAATACAGGCATACCTCAAGAAACAAGAAAGAGCTCAAATAAACAACCTAATCTGACACCTAAAGGAACTAGAAACAGAACAACAAACAAAGCCAAAGTGAGCAGAAGAAAGAAAATAATAAAGATCAGAATGGAAATAAATGACACAGAATTTAAAAAAACAATACAAAAGATTGATGACACCAAAACCTGGTTCTTTGAAAAGGTAAAGAAAATTGATAAACTTTTATGCAGACTCATCGAGAAAAAGAGAGAACTAAAATAAATGAAATCAAAAATGAAAGAGAAGTGACAACTGCACCATGGAAATACAAAGGATTATTTAAAAAGATTTCTATGTCAACAAATAGAAGAACTTGGAAGAAATGAATAAATTTCTAGAAACATTCAATCTTCCAAGACTGAATGAGGAAGAAACAGAATCTGAACAGATCAATAACAACTAACCAAATCAGTAATCAAAAAACTCTCAACAAGCAAAAGTCCTGAACCAGATGACTTCACAGGTGAAGTTTACCAAGCATTAAAGAATTAACATCTATCCTTTTCAAACTATTCCAAAAACTTCAAGAGGAGGGAAGGCTCCCAACCTCATTTTATGAGGCCAGCATTACCTGGCTTCCAAATCCAAAGACATTACAAAAAAAATTATAGGCTAATATCTCTGATGAACATAGATGTAAAAATCCTCAATAAAATATTAGCAAACCAAATTCATCAACACATAGAAAAGATCATACACCAAGATCAAGTGAGATTTATTCCTGGGATGCAAGGTTGATTCAATATCTGCAAATCAATTAACACGATATACCAAATAAACAAAAGGATAAAAATCATACAATCATATCAGTAGATGCGAAAAAATCATTTGAAAATCCATCATCCATTTATGACAAAAATGCAGAACAAAGTGGGAACAGAGGGAATATATTTCAACATAATAAAGGCCATATATGACAAATCCACAGCTAACATCAAAGCTTTTTCTTTAAAATCAGGAGCAAGACAAGAATGTCCACTTTCACCACTTCTATTCAACGTATTATTGGAAGTTCTAGCCAAAGCAATCAGACAAGACAAAGAAATAAAGACTATTCAAATCAGAAAAGAAGTAGTAAAACTCATTATTTGCATATGATGTGATAGTATATAGAGAGGACCCTAAAAAAGTCCATCAAAAAATTATTAGAACTGATAAATAAATTCAGTAAAGCAGCAGGATACAAAATTAACATTCAGAAATTGGTTGCATTTTTATACACTAACAACAAACTGTAAGAGAAATTAAGAAAACAATCTCATTTTCAATTGCATCAAAACAAAATAAAATACCAAAAAATAAATTAACCAGGCAAGTAAAAGACCTGTACTCAGAAAACTGTAAGACACTGAAGAAAGAAACTGAAGAGGATATAAATAAATGGAAGCATACACCGTGCTCTCGGATAGAATTAACATCGTTAAAATGTCCATACAACCCAAAGCAATCTACAGATTCAA